GTTAAAGATAACAAAAGAATAAACACCATCATTCCTTCATAGTGACTTCAAAAACGTATTTATTTCTTTTATCCTTTCATCAATAAGATCGATAATATCTAGTAACACACGAACATATATGTGTCTTTTTTATTGCAACTCCAAAGATGTCCCTTAGTAATGTACCATTTGGTGTTGTTGGGAAGTCCTTATATTGTGTGTTTATGTCTAAATTTTCATCAAACTATTTTCTAATTTTATCCCATACCTTTAGAACTGTCCCTTAGTAATGTACCATATCTTCAAATCAATTAGGCTTTATTTATACACGAAAATGCAAGGGCCCAAAACATATAACTAACAAAAAATTAATCACAAGATTGTAATGATTTATTGTCATCCAGAAAGGGCTAGCGGCGCAACTTGTTGCCCGTTTGTCTTTCGTCGATATGTATTGATTTTAAAAAAAAAGAATAAATTATAGAAATGGTCCCTGTGATTTGGTTAGATTAGTAGTTTTGGTCCCTAAGTTTACAAATTGATAGGTTGCATCCCTGTGGTTTATAAATATTGCAGTTTCTGTCCTTGCTTCATATAAAAAGAATAACTTAGTGTATTTTGTTTAAAAACTTATCTTTTGGTTTAGCACCACTTTTGTGCATTTGGATGTTATGGTTTAGAAGTAGTTTGTTGTCATGGTTTTATTTTGGTCTTTTAGCCCTTTTGGTCATGAAACTAATGCTAACCTTTTGTGATTGTTAAGGAATGATGTAATGGTTTAGAACAACTTTGTGATTAGAATGATGTTTATGGTGTATAACAACTTTGTTGTCATGTTTATGGAACCACATTCATGGTTTATAACAACTTTGTTCTGAAACAACAAATAAAAATTAACATTAGGTGATAATTGCATTACATTGTCATTACAACCATGAAAAGGATACATATTTCTGAAGTTGTCCAAAATAACCCTATATTGATATTACAATATCAAATAGCAAAAACTAGCACATTCCCCTGTTACAATTTCATAATCCATAAACACCCAAAGTTACATGCAACTTCAGGGGTCCCTAATTCCTTAATCCTAAATGAAAAACACCCAAACCACCACAAATAGTAAGCAACTTGCAAACAAACACATCTTCAGTCTTGCCACTTGATAGTTTGTATTGTTAATATTCCTCAATAATCCGGGTATTATCAACATAGATCTTGCACACATTGGAGGATCAATCCATCCTAAGAATCTGCATCTGGAACCCTTCAACTAAAAAAAACCCCTAAACATGAGGGTGATTTTCCTAAATGAGGGTAAAATGCCAAAATGGAACACTTACCTGTTGAGGGCAGGAAAAAAACCTCCGACCAGGGTTTGCTGATGTCCACGAGGTGCGAACCACCGCAACCCTACCACAGAAACACATCACCATTTGATTTTTTGATGTCTAAGCAGTTGCGAACACAAAGTAGGAATAATATGAAGCTCGTGAAGGTTGAAGATGGAAGAGTGATGTAGCTCCTGCTTTTATTTTGAATAAGGTTGCAAAAAAGGTCCCTGTAAGTGGAAAGACGAAAATACCCTCGTCTTTATTGCAGCTAATGACACAAATTGATGGAAGTTAGTGTGAGGGACCAAAAACAATAGAAAGATCCAATTTTGGACCAGTGGTGCACCAAGGTATCGTTTTGGACCAAAGTCGCATAAATTTGCCAACCACAGGGACCATTTTTGCAATTTTGTCTTCAATAAAAGTATCTTTAACGGCCACGAACATAGTTCAACGACACGAAACAAACAACATTTACATCAAAACTTACATAAAAATCTTAGTCATTTCATAAAACCTCTAGTATGAAATTTCTAATTTGGATTGCAAATGCAATGCAAAATTTTAAAATACACATTTCACAAATAAATTCAACAAATTTATTGTATATAGAAAAGGCTAGGAGATAGTTTTTGGAGAGTTGGTTGAATGTTACGAAACTTGAAGAGACCAAAGTTTGCAACTTAGGGCATTTACTATGCATTGAACTTCATAGAGTTGAATGGATTGCCACATTATTTTTTTACATTCCATACAACTCTATCAGTTATTATTATTATTATTATTATTATTATTATTGTTATTATTATTATTATTATAATATAACAATTTTATTTGTTCTTTATTTTAATAGAATTTGTATAGATTTCTTATAAAATTATTATTATTTTTTTAATCAATTATCTAAATTATATATATATATATATATATATATATATATATATATATTCATATTATTATTTATTCTTAGCTTTATTTATTTATCTTTGTTTTTATGGTTTAAAAATATTTTAATATTTTTGACGTCTTATTCGAATATACGATTTAATATTATTCTTATTATTTCTTTACGTTTTGTTTGTTTACATTATATAACATTTTTTATGTGTTGCTCGAATAAACAAATTAAAATAAAACTGCGGATAACTATCAAACATCAAATATAATTATTTAATGTTGTTTTTTATGTGTTTTTCGTTTACATAATTCGTTTATATGCTTTAATTTTTTTATTCAACTTTAATAAGTCTTCTTGTTACTTTTTAAACGAATATTCTTAAACATTAGGATAAAGAAGTATCATACCGTCATAACAATTATGGAAATGACAATTATGTTTTAACAACTATTTGTAAAAAGAATAATCTTAAATAAAATCTTCCCCTTGTTAAATCTCATTAAGTATATATAGTCTGAAATAATAAAAAGTTCACTTCTTATTTTAATTTAAATTCTATTTCTTTTGTTAAAATAAATACGAGAGCATTTTGTTTTTATTTCAGACGATATATACTTAATTGGTATTAACAAGTGATACATTTTATTTAAGATTATTCTTTTAACAAATAATCGTTAAAATATAGTTGTTATTTTGGTAGTTGTTATGATGGTATGATAATTGTTTATCCTAATATTTAAGATTATCCGTTTAAAACGTAACAATAAAACATTTTAAAACTGAATAAAAAAAAGTAAAACACATAAGTGAATGATGGAAACGAAAAACACATAAAAAACAACATTAAATAATTATATTTGATGTTTGATAGTTATCTGGGGTTCTATTTTTATTTATTTATTTGAGCAAAACATAAAAAAAGTTATATAATGTGAATGAACAAAACATATATATATATATATATATATATATATATATATATATATATATATATATATATATATATATTAAATCGTATATTCGAATAAAACGTCAGAAATATTAAAAGATTTTTAAACAACAAAAACAAAGATAAATAAATAAAGCTAAGAATAAATAATAATATGATATATATATATATATATATATATATATATATATATAGATATATATATATATAATTTAGATAATTAATTTAAAAAAAATAATTTTAGAAGAAATCTATACAAATTTTATTAAAATAAAGAACAAATATAATAATAATAATAATAATAATAATAATAATAATTGGTAAAAGAAAATGTAAAAGAAAAATGAAGTGTAGCTTAGTCTTTTTTATAGGAAACAATGACCAAAACTGCAATATTCATAAACAACAAGGATGCAACCTAACGATTTTTAAACTTAGGGACCAAAGCTACGAATCTAACCAAAGCATAGGGACTATTTTTGTAAGTTACTAAAAAAACAGGATTAGTAAGATAAAAAAATCAATAATTAATAGTTAATTTTCAGTTAAAAAAGAAAAATTGGTAATTATTTTTCAATTACAAAAAGAATATTTGCAAAAATGTATTTCAACTTTTCTGGTTGGCTGGCAATGAATTCGTACCTTAAGATACACAATTTCATTGACCCAATTTATTTCGCATTTGCACCCGTATGTGCACGGAAGAGAGTCTTTGTAACGTAAGACTTACAAGGCTAATAAGCATTTAGATTTATAAACTCATTTTCTTTTTATACTACAAACCATGTGGGATAAAATAAAACTCACTTAACCCCTTGTTAATTTTTCCAATTACCTCACTTCCATATGTATTTTTTTGTTCATTTTAAATCCGTTTATGACATACGATATATTAAAACGTAGGTATCTTGGAAAATCATTTTTCCAGGTTGATGATGTTTAGGGTTTGAAATTCGTGCTCTAAATATGCGTGATATGGATAGTTGTGATTTGGAATGTCAATGCCTTTGACTTGGGATGTCAATCATATATAACTTTGGGGGTGTCGTCAAATTCACCCAAAGAAGAATTCGAAACATCAATCACAAGCTAATCGAAGGAAATTACCGATTGACCGACAATAAGGCTAAAGGGTGTCATGCTTTTTTTACCAATGGTAAAAGGGCGTAACATAGGCGCCACATAGACTTTTACAAATTTCACATTTTTTACCTACGAAGTGTGGTGTCGTGCCTATGAATTTTTTTTTTTAATTTCATTTTAGAAAAAGATTAATTTTTTTTAAAAACCATTCTAAAATTTAAAATAACATAAACTTAAAAATTACAATTTAAAAATCCTAAAAATTAAAAAAAAAAACATGAAAATTAAATTTACATTGAAAACCTAAAAATTAAAACTAAAACATGACGTTAAAATTTAAAAACCTAGAAAAAAAACAAAGCATCGTATTTTCAGTTGCGTTTCAGATTATATTTTTCCGAATCGATGCTTTCATAATTCTTGCCGCTTCTTGATCTCCGGGGTCGAGGTGCCTCACGTCTTGCATTAACAACGTATACTTGGTGAGTCAGACGGTTTCAGCCATATGCCTCTCCAAAGTTGAATTCAACTGTGTCATTTGTGTCATCATTTCTTCCGATCTGGCTGACCGCTCGGTTCCGACTGAAGAATTTGAAGAAGTCGTTTTCCCTTTTCCTTTTGCTTGAACTTTTGTTTTGTCCCTTCCCATTGGATGAGGAGGCGAGTGTATTTCTTCAATGTCGTCGTTATTAAGATTAATGTCTACGTGACCATCCGATGAGACTTGTTGCGAGCTCGAATATGAAAATGTCCTGCTTCACTTTGGCGGATTTGCAATTTCTTCATTTGTTGCAAGCTCCCTCCACCTAATGCTTCTTTTGACAACTTCCCACACATGAATAAACTTAAAAGACTTTTGCATATCATCTTGGAATGCATTGTGTGTTTTTTTCAACAAACTCGCTTCACTTTCTCCGCTAGTCCATTGCTTCTCAAAGTTTGTGTAAATTCCATTCCAATGTGTGACGACTTTGTTCATTGGAGTTACATTGGTCAGAGGTCCGATAATCTGGACTTCGACCCGTTCCCCTACAAAAGCGCTCCGTGATACGTAACCAAAACTGATCACGATGCTGACCCTTTTCTGAAACATCCCAAAAATACAGTTCAAAAATTTCGTTTTTAATCATTAAGAAAACCATAGTCATTAAACATCATATAGAAATCATAAATAGTGTAACTCGAAATATCATAACATCTGTCAAAATATATCAATGTATAAACATCCCAGGCTAAACAAATGGTGTGTGAACTGCAATCATCCTGAGCTCTTTCCTTTGCTACCGAAAGTACCTGAAACCAAAACTGAAAACTATAAGCACGAAGCTTAGTGAGTCTCCCCAAACTACCACATACCATACACATAATAACATAATAGAATACATTGGGCTTTGCCAACTACATCGGGCCCCGTCAAACATCGGACGAATCCGACATCGAGCCCCGCCCGACATCGGACCGAAGTCCGGCATCAGGCCCCGCCCAAAATCGGACTGAAGTCCGGTATACATATAACATCTCAACAAGCATATAACATAAACACATAAGATAAACATATAAACATTCCTCGGGCTTGCCCCGACATCAGACCGAAGTCCGGAACACATAACACATAACATATAAGCTAAACATTCCTCGGGCTTTCCCCGGCATCGGACTGAAGTCCGCAACACATAACACATAACATATAAGCTAAACATTCCTCGGGCTTGCCCCGACATCGGACCGAAGTCCGGAACATATAAACAAACACATGCAAGAATCACGAAGACATCAAGCATACAAACATTCCTCGGGCTTGCCCCGGCATCGTACCGAAGTCCGGAAACATATAACTACATCGGGCTAACCCCGTCATTGCTAACATACATAAACGGGCCGGCCTTGGTGCCTTAGACCCGTTCCTACTGGAAGAGGACTCACCTCACACTGCTGAAGTCCCGCGGACAAAACCCTAGCTGCTGGATGACAGATTCCCGATCTGTCAATATCAAAATAACACCCAATTAATAATTGGGTTCCAACACATAACCATAAGTCCATGTTTGGGGTAAAAGACTACTTTACCCCCAGCTTATCTTGATTCAAGCTCAAGGCCCAATCCAAAGATCCAAAAGTCAAACTATGAACTAAAGCCCAACATATGGCGCAATTTTCCAAATTTGGCCCAAGCCTGTCCAATGGGCCTTATCCTAAATCCCAATCCAAATATTCTAGTCCATATATTTGTTCTTGGATGGCCCATCTAGAACCCAATCACTAAAACCCAACAGAAAGACCCAACTCCAGGCCCAACCAAAATTAGTGTTTCTCACATGAAATGGCGATTAGGGTTAAGTGTTTCTTACTTAACCCATTAAGGACTTAATCCATTAAGTCCATCAATCTACTAGGTTAATCAGATAATGTGTTCGGGTTTAATACATAATCCCAATCCGGTCATCCAAAATGCGGGTCCCGACAACCAAAACCCACATATCCAAAATTAGGGTTTTCTTAACCCTAATTAGGGTTTCCAACCCAATCACAACCCAATTAGGCCCAAAAGCTAAGTCTTTAGATCAATTAGGTTTTCATTAGGTCAACTAGGGTTTCATAAATCGAGCACCATGTAACATCCCAAAATTCAAGACTAAAAATTTCGTTTTTAATATAAGAAAACACTTAATAACTTTGTTCCGAACATTAAAAACATTTCATTTAAAACAAATATCAGAGTTTAATCCCAAAGATCACATAATGCGGAATAATATGGGTGAATGCGCTGCAATCGTCCCGAGCTCCTTTTCTTGAAAACTAAAGATACCTGAAACCAAAACTGTAAACCGTAAGCACGAAGCTTAGTGAGTTCCCCAGATACCACATACCATACATATCAACTGAGCCATACATAACTGTAAGCCATACATATCAATCATATATCAAATAAGTTGTTATGTGTCGCACATAGTCTTGCCGTTATGCCACGGGCCGCCACGTTGTCTTTCTTGCCAAGTCGGGGGCCACCCCCTGGGTCTTACAGACAAGTGCCAAGAGCCGCCTCCTGGTCTTCTATGCAAGTATCACAAAGACAACTAGAATACATACTACTCTACTTAGCTAATGAGCATACAGTGTGCCATGAGCCACCTCCTGGTCTTTCATGCAAATTGCCTAGGGCTAACCCCCAGGTCTTCCTACCATACATAATAGCATACTGTGTGCCAGGAGCCACCCCCTGGTCTTTCATACATAGTGCCTAGGGCTAACCCCCGGGTCTTCCTACCATACATAAACTAAATGGGCCGATATTGTGGCCGTAGACCCATACACACAGTGAGGAGACTCACCTTGCACTGCTAAAGTCCTGCAGATAATCCTTTTGCTGCTACTGGCAATTCCCCGGACTGCTACTCCTTCGACTCCCCGAGCTATCAATACCAAATGACACTTAATCCAAAATGCCCACAAAAGTCAAACTAGGTCAACCTTGGGTCAAAGTTAATGTCAACGGTCAAAGTCAACGCTCTGAGTTGACTCAACTCGCCGAGTGGCTCCATCAACTCGTCGAGTTCTATAAATCAGAATCCTGAAATCGCGATCCAACTCGTCGAGTCACCCTTGACTCGCCGAGTTCCCTAGCTACTCATGGTCGCGATTTAGCGAATCAACTCGTCGAGTCATCCTCAGAGAGTTCCTGTGTTTGTTTGGGACAACTCACTTCAACTCGTCCAGTCCCTCTCTGGACTCGGCGAGTTCCTGTGTTTGTTTGGGCCATCTTAACAGATTAAGCCCGTATACTTCATATCTCAACTCCAAACTTCGTATAAACTCTGGAAATACTACTAGAGGGGTAAAATTTCCAACTTTACCCATTAATACCTTTCCTAAAAGGATTAAGCTCAAACCCTAACTCGTTAAGACATAGATTCTTGTCCAAAAGCCACAGTATTCCAAACTAAAGCATACAAACATAGATCTAAGCCTTAGACATCGTTTGGACACATAAAGTTCCTTCCTTTCTCTACATGCAAGGCCTTTTGGGGCTTAAAAGGCCAAAAAGACATTCCATAGCTTGTGTCACAACTAGCATTTTGGCTAGGAAATTCCGTCCTCATAAAAGCAATAACTATTGTATGGCTTGTGCTAACACATTAAAAGGGTATGTGCAATCTCTCCGAAATCTCTCCAAGTATGTGAAATCTCTCCGAAATCTCTCAAAGTATGTGAAATCTCTCCCAAATCACTCCAAGTATGTGAAATCTCTCCCAAATCTCTCCAAGTATGTGAAATCACTCCTAAATCTCTCCAACTATGTGAAATCTCTCACAAATCTCTCCAAGGATGTGAAATCTCTCCCAAATTTCTCCAAGCATGTGAAATCTCTCCCAAATCTCTCTATGTACCTTCCTCAGTCGAAAACAACCTAAAACCGAAGGAGAAAACCCAAAAGGACCCTCTTGGTCCGGAACCCCTCTCTACTTCGGAACTTCTGATGGATTCCGGAATGCCTAGTTGCTTCGGACAATCTCACAAGCCCGGAAGGGTGACTCCAGAATAAGCCCCTCATCCGGAAGAACAAATCCCGCTTCGGAAACTCTTAGCCGGCTTCTCACCTCGGTCCGGACTGCTGGCTTCGCTCCGGAATTCACATGGGCTTCGGAATCCGAGAAAAAACACTCCGGAACTCTTCTGTTGACTCCGGAACCTTGAGAGTGACTCCGGAAATTTGAAACTGACTTCGGACCCTCGCAGGCTCCGGACTCCACTCCGTATTTTTGTCCACTTCGGACTTTTTCGTCATTTTAAGACATTTTGACGTCGGGAATTCCTCTAAACTCGTATTTTTCATATCTTAGACCCCTTAAACCCTCATTTTATGCCAAAATTGATTATTTAAACATATTATATAAAATAATACCCAAGATTTTTAAAAGGATTCTAAGAAGATAAGGGTTGACTCTATGATGCGACATTTCAACAAGTTCCAAGATAATTGCGGATAAACAAGCAATATCCTCCAGATATCCAAGCACACATCAAATCGACTTCTTTTCCTTTATTCAAAAGAAGAACTCCATCTTACTATCCTCACTTTTACTCCATTTTCACTCCCTGGAAGATTTCACCCTCCTTCAAGAGTCCTTTCCTCACCCACTTAACAAACTCTTCAAGAACTAGTGGATGCTCCCAAGTGCATTCAAGTTTCAATCTGATTTCTTCAAAGAAATTTCCAAAATTCTTGTAAGTATCTCCTAATTTGCTAAGTGATCCTTCACATTGTTCTGTTAATATCACCATATTTACACATAAAATTATGTGTTAATATTCTTAGGGCATTCTCAAGTTCAAAGAGTTTATCAAACTCTCCAAGGGTTAGAACTTGGAAACTCCTCATCAATTTGCCAAATCACCCCACCAAAACAAACCAAGGTGAGCTTCATACCCCTACTTTTTCGAGATTTCTATTGTTTTTGGGGGAGAAGACAAGTCAAAGTCTTGTGTAAATCATGATCTATTTGCTTTTTGTGTATGCATGTCATCTTACATGTGCTTAAGTATGAAAACCTTTATAAATAGTCCAAAAACTCGAGATTTTGGTTAAGTCTCAAGAGTTTGGATTATATCTCACAAATCACGTTTGGAAGCAAGAACTAGTATGTTACCAAGTATAAGTCACAAATTTTTATAACAACAACTATAAGGATTTGTTTCAATATTTGCTTAAACAAGTTGTTGGGCAAAATATTTTTGAAAATGATTAAAGTATGGAAATAATAATATTTTGGATCATTTTTGGCCAAACATAAATACAAGGGTTATCTTGGAATATTATGTCATACCCATGACTTTTTACCAGATTAACAAACTATTTGTGATTATTTATAATTAATTAATATAAATAATTTTATCAACAAAAATATACGAAAACAGAGTTTTCATGACAGAAATATCTGCATGTCATAAACTGCTGTCGTAAAACCTTCAGGAACATAAGTAATGTTCTATATGTCATAAAACAGAAAATGCGTGTCATAACCTGCAGTCGTAAATTTACACAAATTATAACTTGACACTTTTCTCTTGATTAATATGGGCCTGAGCCGACAATTT